TTTATGAGTATAAAATAATGATGGCGTTGTTAGTCGCTCTACCAACTAATCTTTCTGGCTGATCTGTAGAACAATCTAAAAATTTAGTTGTGCAATACCAAATGCTTCACTAAATATATTCATATAAATGTTGTCTAATATGCTCAAAATTATTGAAAAGTGTCGAATTAACTTTGGAATTTTCCATCTATCAAAAACTATGGGTAAAAGTATGGGTAAAAACTTGTTTTGATTTATAGTGACTAATCGACAAAATAATATTTTTTATTTTTTAGTATTTTTCTTATAAACTGAAATTTTTTTCGCAGAAGACCAGTTGTCATATAATCATAACCAAAAGGTGAGCAGAAAAAAATCGAAAAACTGTAATTTTTTAAACTTCAGACAAGAGAATTTGACCACAAACCGATCATATCGCGGTATAAAACATCCGCTGAAAACTCTGTCCTCAACTGATATCGACGTCTTTTTCGTTTCACTTCCAAGTACCGCTGAAGTATCAGTTTGGTGGTCGTCTACTACTTTGCTCACTTGGGCGACGTTGTCATCTAAGTGCGCAGAAACTGACCTTAACGGTTTAGCTAACGGTGGTTTGAAATTTTTATTGATTCTTTCAACAGGCACTGGTTCGACTCTCCTTTCTCCATTTTCGTTCACAACTCTTCTTGAGACCGCAACTTCACCCATCTGTGGAGACCGTTTAAAATAGCGTCTCCGCTCTGGATACTCTCCTTCATCATACTCCTCGCTAGATCCGCTTTCCATGTTCTCCAGTTCCTCTAACCTCATTCTTGGTATTACAGTTGTTGTTGGTGCTGCAGTTATTGCCGGTCTTGCTGTCGTCGTTCTTGGCGTCGTCTTAATTACATTAACAGTTCAGTTTAAAGCATCATTTGAAAAAAGTTAAACAACAAGGCAGCAACATATTGAAATTTTTACACATAGATGAGTCATCTGAAATATTAAAATAAGTTAAAATCTAAAAATTTTGGCAGAGGTATCTATAACAGAAATTTTGTCTATTAGAAGCGCCTCGATTGCTTAGCTTAGTAATAAAACTATCTAAGCCTAGTTCTACTTAAATTTAAATTTGAACAATAAGCTCACTAATCTGGTGTAATGCAAGCGTTTTTGGTTTGGTACTACTCTGACTTTCATCGCTTTACAATAAAAGACTTGGAAATTGTGTGGTAAAAAATTACGGTTGTAATAAAGAAATGCTAACTGTACATTATTGAAGATCGAAAAAAAACAATTTTCAACGAAAATCTCGATTACGACTTCTCACTTTTCCAACCTATTTGCTTATATCATCATTAACATCATTTTAAATTTAATGCTTGTACTAAAAATAAGCTATTATTTAACTACAAGATTATAGAAGAGCAAAACACATGGTTTGAATTCTTTTGAATAATATACCGTTATTGGTGCACTACCATAAAACTTTTTTTGTATCTGACTTTAGAACGTACAACTTTAGATTTCATCTGACTCATCGTGTACCGAAAAAGATTTTAGACGCTGACAAGTTAAGGTATCGGTTAGTCAAATTTTTACATAGGTGTAAGTAACTGATTTTGTATATGGTGCAGGAGTTGGCCGATATATTGTGTAGGGAGCTGGAGTTCGTCGAGTTGTGTAGGTGGCATAAGTTGGTCGAGGTGTTGTGTAAGTCTGCGTTGGTGGAGCTCGAGTTGTAGTTGGATAAGGTACCGTATATCGGTATTGTGAGTAAACATACTTCGTTGTTGTGTATCGAGTTGTGTAACGCTGTGTTGTGTATTGAAGTTGTGAGGGTTGAACGGTAGCTGGAGGCTTCTGTTGAGCAGGAATTAACAGTGGGTTACAAGTTTGACCATAATAGTCAACTCCTGGCTCGTAAGACAGCGATTTGTCACGCTGTGATAATCTGCTTAGATAACATTCTCGTTTCTGCATATTAACCATTACCGACTTGCAGTCAAATGAGAAGACGAACCGTGACTATAATTGAGTGTACATCAATGTCCCAAACTTGATCTATTTTTTTTAAACAAAATTTATTCATTACTAACTTTCTCGCTTACTTTGCCTAACAGAATTGAATAGCTGTTAAACTCATAGTATTACGTGAATCGCTATTATAAAAAAATTATTATTTAAAATAGACCTTAGACCGTTGCAAAGAGTGATTATTATCTTAAAGTGTAAGTCAATCTTTACAAGCTTACTGGCATGATCTGAAGGTTTCCTGTTTCTACATAGAACATCAACATGGTAAATCATTTTACGTCTTTTGTCAATTTTAGAAACACAATAACAGCTTGAAACTTTAATTAATCAATTATTTGTTCTTTTGGAATTTAAGAAATATACACTAATTTTTCACTCTTTACGTTTACAATCTTTACTCTTCTGCTTTCAGCAAAAACTGTTTTCAACTGTTTTAAAAAACTGTATAAAAAACAAAAAAAAGTTACTTTTTTTGAAAAAGATAAAAAATAAGCGATAAAATAAACGAAAAAAAATTGGTGTTGACAAGGTGCTCACATGTGAACATAGATGAATGCAATATCCGGCACTCTCCAACGTCTTGACGACGACATACGTTGAATCCGGCACTTTTGAATTAGGCACAAATTCGTAGCAGTCGAAAGCATAACTCCAATTAACTGATGCCAAGAAGAAACTAGAAGAAAAAAAAGAACAATCTTTTTTGCTAGTTTCTTTCACCTTTTAACAATGCCTAATTTTTGCTTATCAAGTGTATTGAGAAGTGAATAAGGACAGAAATTTACGACACTCAATACGGCTATTGAAGGTTTGAAGCCGCAGAGCAGTTATCTAAGACTGAATAAAGTAAAATTAATTTAGCAACTATTTGTTTGGTTCAAGAAAAACGTTTAAAAAAGGTTAACAACAAAGTATCACCAATAAAACAGTGTTGTTTTGCTTTTCAATTTCAGTCTTTAATCTCAGTATTAATCAACCCGAATTAAAGTCTGTAAATAGAAAATGATCAAATAAAAACTGAGTAAACCAAATCCAGACAAAAAAAAAAAAATCAAAATTTATGCTTAAATATGATTTTTTCTAATCTGTTTTTAACATATATTCTATTTTTAAAACTGATTAGTTTCAATACTTTTTTTTTTCAAACCTTTTTAGATTTGCTTATTAATTCATCAGTGACTGTTTGAGAAGAAAAGAAGAGATGACATTTTGATCAAGGAAAAATCTGCTGTTTATCAATTGATGGCTATTGTTTTAAAAACCACTTAATTTTGTGTTCGCTTTTTTCACCGTTAAAAATGCTTTAATCGGTTTTTTTTAATCAGAAGACAATTTTGATAAGCATATTTTACTTTTAACTAATCACAACACCACTGTTTACAGAGTAACTGCTGTAAAAAAAGCTACGAAGTTTTTCATTATAAACTTTGTCAAAAAATCTGCCAACATATATTAAAACTGACTCTTAAATTTAGTCTTACAGTCTAAGACAGTTCGTCAATTAACTAATAAACAATAATAATTACATATTTTTCTTGACAAAAAAGTACACCGCTTTTTTTTTGCATATAAAAATTCAGTTTACGGCATTTCAATGTCTGTGACAGTGTTGGTTTCAATGTCGGTGTCGGTGTCGGAAGGTGTTGCCCTACACTTTTCTTTTTTTTTTTTTTTT